CCCCAAAAGGCAGCGTTCTCCGATCCTGCCATGATGACATGTGGACATGGAGACAGCACGTGTCACCGGGCTTGGGGTAGGAGCCAGTCAATGGTTATTGCTCTGTGGAGTGCAGACTAAGCCCTCTAGAACCCTCTAGGTCATGGTCCACGTTCTCTGGGGCCCCACAGGGAAGGGATGGTTTTACAGGCTCAGTTAAGATGAGCTTGTAAAGAAGGGTGTGTAAATTGTGGCTTAGTCAAAACCCCCCACAAAAACATGCTCAATATTCTGGCGCTGGTTAAAGAAGCCTTGTGAATTTTGGAGACCAATTCCCATTCTCCCTGTATTTTCCGTAATTCCACACACTGTACAGAGTTCAGTTCCCACTCGCTGCTCACAGCTCCAAAGGATGCGTGAGGCCACGCTTGGTGGGCTCCTGCTGGCTGCCGATGGCCGGCGCCTGAAGCCCACGGGCCCAAGGAGGATGCTCAGGTCCCCCAGTGACGTGGCTGGTCACCTGGTGGAGACCACAGCAGGAAGTGGTTCTGTCCCGACAGGTACTTGGGGTCTTGCAGTCACAGCTTGAGGAGGCATTTTCCCATCGAAAAGGTTAAAGCATGTCTGTCCTGTAATCTCTTAAGATTCTGCAGAGAAACCCAGGCAGTGCGTAACTTTCTAGGAAATCTGCTTTGCCTACATGCCAGCCTGGGAGGAAAGAAACAATAGCATCTGGCCCTGTGAGTGACTGCTTACTTCTACCCCAAAGCCAGGGGCTGGGGCGGCAGTGAGGTCAGTGGCCTTTTGAAATGAAGGAGCAGGAGGCTCGAGGCAGAGGGAGGAAGCAGGAAAAGCAGAGAACAGCGTTGGAATGGAGGGAGGTGTCGCGTAGGCCTCTCAGGAATGAGGCTGGCACAGATGTCACAGTCTCTGTCCCCGTCGACAGTTTCTGTCTGATAGTAGCTGACTTATGTTCTGAGTTCTCTCTAGTCTTGCTCATCTGACTCCAAAGGGCTACAATCAAGCGTTTGGGGGTATGGGGGTGGGATTCTGGGCAGCAAGGGGTGGTGCCCCATGGGTTCTGACTGCACTTGGAGTGGCATCTGCGTCCTGGGTTGGGGAGGATGGCAAAGGACTCCATGTCAGCATTGTCGTCATCCCCGTCATCTGTTTGGCCTCCTGGCATGGGGGCAGCACCTGGCGGTGCTGGGGGCAGGGAGGAAGGCGTGAGGTAGATTGGCAGATGTGTAGGAGGGAGGGAGCACGATCGGCTCTCCTGTGGGCCTGCTTCTGAAGAGAGAGATCAGAGAGAGCGAGCGAGGGGTCTGGTGATGAGGATGGTTCAGCGTCCATGGTATTTGAATGAAACACACTCTGAGAAATCAACCGATTTACTTTTTAAGCCCCTTGTAGAAAAATATATCCAGAATGAATCTGTCCCACATCTCAGTTTTGAAATTGCCTTTAGTTCACAGGTTACTGGTCAACAGAAAACAGGAAGCTGTGGCTGCACAAAGCTGACTGCAGGCGGCTTTCCTCCATGGTCTCCGTGGTTACCATCCTCTCGTGCAGCAGGTGGGTCTCTGCTTTATTTGGGGTGAAAACGGTCCTCCAGGGCACCTACCTGGGCCGGGAGGTGGGGAGAGGGCCGGGCTGGGTGGGCATGGCAGGGACTGAGCTTCTGTGTCTGGCGATGCCATCTTTAGATGTAAGCACTTGGAGCTTGCTAGGAGCGATTGGCCCCAGCCAGGTTTTTAAAGGGCTCTTCTGGCTACTTCCGGGGACTTGGGCTAATAGGACCCGTGAACGACTTGGAGACTTAAGATAAAAGCCTGGGCCAGCCCCAGGCCGGTCTCACTGGGTCAGGGTTGCTGGGGCAGCATTTGAAGTGTCATGCGTGGTCCATGCCCAGAAAGGCCACACCGTCATCTCGAAACAGACCCTCTCTTCTATCACCAGTAGCTGGCGGGCCTTTGGACCTGGGACCTCCACGTGGGCTCACTATGAGGATGAGGGCCTCCAATTCAAAGCCTTGGCCAGGTGTTGTTTGTGTTTGTTATTCCGAAAAAACAAACAAACAAAAAACCCCAAAAACAAAACAAAACAAAAAACTGTTGAATTTTGGTGAAACTTTATTTCAGGATTCAGGAATGTGGGGATAGTGAGTTGGGATAGTGATAATGGCCTTTTGGGTGATTCTTTTGGTAAAAGGGATCCTCCTTGAATGCGAAAAATGAGTAGTCGCCGTTTTGTGTTCATCACAAGGATTGCTGGCTGGGTTTGCTTCAAGGCCCAGCTGTTGTGATGACTTCTGACCCCAGCTGGTTTCAAATTGTGCTCCATGGGCCAGCCTGTTCCCTGCCTCCCACCCAAGCAGCTCTGCAGGAAAGCATCTACCCGCGAGCCTTTGTGAATTTGCACATTGCGCTGTTTTCAGGCCCGTGAATCCTTTCTCCAGTCCAGCTGTGTCCGGCACGTGGGCAGTGAGACGGGAGCTGCACGGTGAGGACAGGAGAGGCAGATGTGCTTTTCCGAACACTCAGCAATGCCGGGATGGGGGAAGGAGCAGGTGCTGCGGTTTAAGAGGCCAGTTGGGATCAGTTCAGTCTTCTTCTTAGGAATCTGCAAGCCAGAGGGGTCGGCGTTTGAGCACGGCTGTCAGCGGGCTCCCCTCCAATGGGCGCGGGGGCTTTTTTCTGCCAGGCGCTGCCACAATTTAGGTTTTTCCGGAGGGTGACGTTCATGAAAATTGGAGAATTTCCGTGATTAGAGTGGGAGTTTGGAAGTAAATGTGTCAAGAGATTGAGGCAAGAATAAAAAGAAGCCCTGACTGGTTTGGCTCAGTAGAGAGAGCATCGGCCTGAGGACTGAAGAGTCCCGGGTTTGATTCCGGTCAAGGGCATGTACCTTAGTTGTGGGCACATCCCCAGTAGAGGGTGTGCAGGAGGCAGCTGATGGATGTTTCTCTCTCATCAATGTTTCTAACTCTCTATCCCTCTCCCTTTCTCTCTGTAAAAAAAAATCAGTAAAATATATTTTTAAAAAATTAAAAGGGGGAGAACCATTCATCCCAGTTATTGTGTGACTGAATATGAGACTTTTGAAGACAGTTTCCTCCACCTATATCTACATATTGTACCTGTAGAAAAAAATCTAAAATGTGAATGCACATGTTTAGACACACTCCTGAGAATTGTGGGAAACAGGGGTCTGGTGGACCAAGATACAGGAGACGCATAAATAGATGGCTGATCTCAGGAAACTCAGGGGAGAGGCGCGTATAGGTGGGCTAGGCAGCCAGGTGGGAGGGGAAGGGGCTGTGTATGAGTGAGGCAGGGTCTTGCCTTCTCTGCAGCACAGGAAACCATGGCCATGCTGGCGGGGGAAGGGGCTACACTAGCTAAGGTGCCTGTGGTGGGACCGCCTCTCCCAGGTGGTTAGAAAGGCGATCATTCAGCCAGCGAGTGGGCCGGTATGTTTTGGCCGCTGATGAGCGAAGGAAAGCAGTGTTCCGAGAACCCAGGGGAGCCTCTTTCTCGCTGAGATTCTTTAATAGACTGTCTTCCCAAAGCTGCTGGGTTGTACTGAGAGCCCACCATCGCCGAGACACGTGGGAATAGTTCAGCAGAATATAACCAGCCTGCATCCTTCTGATTCTGAGCTTCGGAGTGAGTGCCACTGGGGAGACGGGGGCGCTGAGTGTGAGATGGAATACTGGAACCCTGTACTAACTGCGCTGCGATGATGCAGGGACGAGGGGCACCAGAGCTGAGCGCAAAGGCCACAGGCAGAGAGGAAATTGGTTTTTAAAAGGGAACCTGCCTGGACACCACTGTGTCCTTGGGGTTTCAGCAGTGAGTCTGGAGGTTGCCAGGCAAGCAAACCTAATCTGCTTTGAATCTGAGCCTGGCTACTAAAATGTCCTCCTTCCAGGCCTAGCCGATTTGGCTCTGTGGATAGAATGGCGGTCTGCAGACTGAAGGGTCCCAGGTTCGATTCCGGTTTAGGGCATGTACCTTGGTTGTAGGCTTGATCCTTGGCCTTGATTGGGGTGCGTGCAGGAGGCAACCAATTGATGTGTCTCTCTTTCTCTCCCCTTCCCTTCCACTCTCTCTAAAAATCTATAGAAAATATCCTCAAGTGAGGATTACCTAACAATGTCCCCTTCCATGGTGAAAAGCAGGCACACGGGGTCTATCCTAGTTTCTTGGGGTCCCAGCCCAGAGCACAGTCTTTGCCACGGTGGTGGCTGATCGGTACTTGGGGGTGTCAGTGCTGTAGGGGACTGCTCCTCCTGGATAACCACTGTCCTTTCTGGCTGGGGGGCCTGGGGTGGCGACGCTCAGAGACTTGGCCTAAGGCAGGGACGAACAGAGCGGGACCTCGGAGAGCATCTTTCTGCTTACTAGCATTTGAGATTATAAAAAATTAATTTTTTAATCAAAGTTTCCAAAATAAAGCGAGTGATTTCCCCAGCCCACCCCAAGCTGCAGTAAGTCTTACTGGCTCTCTCTCAGGCGTACAAGTCAAATGGAAAGAAAAGCAGGAAGCAGCTGCGGAGGAGGAAGAGGAGCAGAGCGAGGGCAGGTGTGGCTCTCCGGCCTTAGCCAGGCCCCTGTTCCTGAGGGGCCGTGCACGGGCCTGGTCTCGGGCCCCTCCGCAGGGTGCAGTCTGGCTGGGTCTGGCGGCGAAGGAGAATGACTATGTGAAGGCAACCGACGGAAGTGCCCGCCTGGAAAGCAGGGGCGCTGGGCTCCACGGCGCCCCCAGCCACGTGGCATGGAGCTGGGCGCGGACACGCCTCCTGTACCCACCGTGGCCCGAGGCTTACCTCGTCCTCCCTAACGGGAACACCGCAGCTGGGCGAGCGGCGAGCGGCGCACGCCCTGGACGAGGAAACTTGCAAGGAGACCGGTGTCGAACCACGAAGCGGGTACGGGTTTTTGCTTTTGTCTGTGAAAATGTACAGGGCGCCCGCCCGGGGGCCGCGGTGTCAGGATGGGGCTCCGCGCTGGCCGCCCTCACACCTCGCCCACCCACACCACGGTGGCGCCCCCCCGGACGCCCGCCACCTCGCACCGCAGCGCGTTCTGCCGCCCGTCGATGAGGAACAGGGACTCCCGGGCCGGCGTGAGGAGGTACTGCCCGAACAGCCCGCTGTCTCGCACGGCCCTGCGGGGCCCTCCCCAGCGCCCGGCCGGCCCCGCGGGCGGCTCCTTGAGGCTCCGCAGCCGGCCGGCCCGGCCCGTGGCCAGCTCCAGGAACAGCAGGTCCGGCGGGGCCTGCAGCGCGGCGTAGACGCGGTACTGGCCGCCGTGGGCGAAGGAGCGCTGGAAGGCCACGTCGGAGACGCCCCCCCGGCCGATGTCCAGGGCGTGGAGGGTCCGGAGCTCCCCCCGCAGCGTGACCTCCTGCACGTGCAGCCGGGGGCCGGCGGCGGCCGCGCTGACCACGAAGCGCCCGTCGGGGGATGCGTGCGGGGTGCCGGTCACGTCGCCGTTGGGGCCGACCGTGGCGTCCGTGACGCCGTCGATGAGCAGCTGCGGGGCGGCCGCGGCGCCGTCCCGGAGGCACTGCACGAAGAAGTAGCCGCCCAGGTGGGAGTGGGCCATGGCCTGCGGCAGGCAGCCGTGCCGCTGCAGCCCGATGGTCTTGACCAGCAGCAGCGTCTCCAGGTCCACCTTGTGCACGGCGGGCTCGGACGTGTTGAAGACGAAGCCGAACCTGGGAGGGGAGAGCGGAGGTCAGAGGTCAGAGGCCTCTCGGGGTCGGGGGGACCTGCAGCCTGTCTCACAGGACTGCAGCCTGTCCCTCTATCATAGCCCTGCAGGGGTCTGACGGCCCCTGGAGAAGGACTCCCATTCTGCGGGGACAGCTTCCTGAGATCCATCTGCGTCTCCAACAGGAGGAGCGGGGACCCGGAGGTTCCTGGGCGGGCGCCTTCGTGCACGCGCTCATCGTTAGAAACGGGGCAGGAGGGTAGCCGTGTCCGCCACTGCGTCTCCCCGCGGCCGTGTGCCGGCTGGGAAGGGCCGGCCTGTGCCTGCGGGAAAGGACAGTGTGTGCCTGCCATGGCCTGGGTGAGGACGCGGGCGCAGAGCCTCCGTTCCCTCGGGGTTCGCACTCGCCGGTGAGTGGGGATCGGAGGACGCAGGTTCAGGGAAGCTCAGGTTTCCTGAGAGGGTCCCCTCTGCCCGGGACTGGGAAGGACACCCCCGCTCCGGCCACACGTGAGATGCTGGTGGGCAGGGGGCCCAGAGCGGTTTTCACCCAGAAGGCCCGACACTGCTGAGGCCCTGCCACTCACCGGGCCCGGGCACTTGCTTTCTTCTCTGAGCCCCTGGGACTCTAAAGAGGGCCGTTTCTCATTCCTCGGAGGGCCCTGGGATCTAATCCAAGAGGGAGCTTTGGTGGCAGAGCTCAGGGGTGACTTCCCCAAATTCCTCATTGGTGGCCTTGCTCCGTGGTCAGAGGCAGGCCTCCCTTTGCTCTAAGGGCCTCTCCTAGACCCCTTGCTTTAGAGGCGTCCTGACCCCGCCTCACCCGCAGGAAAGAGGGAAATCGCTCCCACCACTCCTTTCCAATAGCGAATAGTGGCGCGGGTGTGTGTGTGTGTGTGGGGGGGGGGGGGGGATGGGGGGGGAGGCCCACTTCAGAGCATCCGTGAAGCGTCCTCAAAGAGCCAGCGCGTGGAAAGCGCAGGAAGAAAACTCACTCTTTTAAGGAGCTTTAGCGCGAAAGCCACGCCCAGGGCTGCTGAGTCTCTGCGTTTGCAGGACTCCGAGCTGAACCCGGCTCCTCTGGGGGGTGTCCCCATTGAGAACCCCATTAGGGGCTCTTTCCCAGGTGCGCTCTGCAGTGCCGTGGGGGTGGGGGTGGGGTGGGGAGGGCAGAGAGCGGCGATTTTCCTCCCTGGGCAAGGAGGACACATGGGTGAGTCCTATTTTACAAGTTCAGCGTCAGCTTGCAACCGTGAGTCATTTCCTCCTGGAGAAAGGTGCTGGATGTCAGGTTAGCGGAAGGCATAACTAGTGCCACGTGAAACCTGGGTCTTGATGACTTTGTCAAGGGCAGGCTCAGTCTGTGGGCAGCGGTGACTTTACAGAAAGTGTCAGGGGTGCTCTGAAATGAGTAGCGGGGGCGGGGGGGGGGAGGAGGTTTGCCGCGGAGGCCGGGGCTGTTATTGGAGCCTCTTCTTTGGAATGGTGGCACCCAGGCACCCAGGGGGCCTTGTTTCCTTGTAGGCCCCCTGCAGGGCGGCTCTGAGGGCTCTGAGAGGACCCAGGGACGGTGGTTAGCAGAGGATGAGGCAGGATGGGGCACTCTAAGGAGCCCTGGCTTTGCATTTAGTCTTATTGCCAATTCCTGGCCGTGTGACCTTGGCCAGTATCTTGTCTTCTCTGAACCTCAGTTTTCTCATCTGTAAAATAGGGTCGAGACCACTTCTATTTTGTGTCTAGCAAGGAGAGGGTGCTAAATTAACCACCGCTGTTTCTCCTTTTCCCTGTGGTCCTCACCTTGAGGATGCGACTCCTTGACCTCACTGGGACCCTGAGGACATTAGGAGCTGGGTGCCGTCCTGAACTTAAACAGGGGTGGGTCCATTTTCCTGTCCCTTCTTGAGGTGGTTCCAAGCCAGCCCAAGAAGAGTGGGGATGACGGAGTAGGTCCCACCCTGGGCCCTTGAAGGGGTCCCCCGAGGGGCACAGACGGAGCACGCAGGGCCAGCGGGTCTCACCTGATGTGGTTGATGATGAGGTTTGTTGGGGGAATGAAGAAGTCGTCCATTCCTGTGAAGGGTGTGCGGATGAGGTGCTGGCCCTGGCCGGTGCTGGCTTCCGTGATCACCTGTGACAGAGAGCAGGGTCCCTTGTGAGGGCCGTCCTAGTGGGGGGCTGGAGACCTGGAGCCCTCTGCACGCTCCCCAGCAGACAGGCTGCTAGAGAGAGAGGATGGACAGGCCACAGTCGTGGGAAGGGGTGGGAGCAGGGTGGATCGGCACAGCCAGGACAGGAAGTGGTGGGACGTAAGGGAGTCGTTCCCGCCCACTCTGCCTGGCATGACCTGCCACGCACTGTCAGCTGTGGTGACTGCAGAGCGGGGCCTGAGCTGGGCTTGGGGCTTTGGAAGGAGGTCCCAGAACGGGAACACCACTCTGCTCAGATACAGCTTCCCCGCCCGCAGGGACGCCCCCCTTCTCAACACCTAGGCCTCCCTGGGAAAAGGAGAGAGCTCATTTCAATAACGAAAATGTGAAGCGGGGAACTGATGGCGGGTTATTGATTTCCCGTCCATGCCAGGAGCCTGGCTGGCTGGTTGGGAATCTCGCACACTGCTCCCCGAGGCGTGCTCCAAGGCTGTGACTCCGAGAAAGCGGGGATCTGGCAGAGGTGCCGTTCAGGGTGCAGGTCCTGCCACGAGAGGCCTTGTGATCGGAACGTCGGGGAGAGGTTTGGTCTCACGCTGTGAGAAGTAAGGAATCCGGCCTTGCGTTTGGTACAAATGGGTGAAGTCAGAGTGTGGCTGCCTGTTTCCCTGGAGGTTACACTCCTCCCCTTGTGTGTCCCTGCGTGTGGGTCTGCTGTCTGCACAGGCCGGGCGCGTTGGCAGTACGGAGCAGTCAAGCAATGTCTGAGGCTAGAGTGGAGGAGAGCGGTCTGCAGGTCCTGTGGGCAGACCGGGCATCTACCTGCCCATTAGCCTGTGTCCTCTGCCTTTTCCCCGCACTCCTCAGCCTCCAAGTCCAGGGCCATTGCCCTGGAAGGCGGCTGACCTGCCGCCAGGGGAGGAGCGTGGCCAGCTGTGGGCAATGTTGGCTTGAGGGCCCACAACAACAAGCCCAGAGCAGCACCGGAGGCAGAGGCCAGGCCCTAAACGGAGAGGGGAGATACTCCGACCTTCAGCTGGAGGCCGTGCACGGAAGGAAGGATCCAGATTTCGGCAGCCTCAGGCCCAGGAGCTCGGGCGGGGCTTGGTGACACCCATGGCTTTCAACCCTGGATGCTGTTGGCTTTTTCGAATGAAATTGTCTTCTGGCTCTTACTTTTATGGTGAAACTAACAGCACCTGGTGTCTCCTCAGGCAGGTGTGAGGGCTGAATCCTTTCCGAACCAGCTTCCCAGGGGTCGGCAGGCGGAATGTCGATTAGAACCACGAGTGCTGTCACTTTCAGCCTCGGGGCAGCTCTAAAGCCCTACGGTTGCATTAGGTCATTTTCCTGGGATTAAAAAAAGGCCGAATGACACTTCCATGGCAAGTTCGTGAGGAATAGCTCTGGGCATGAAGGAAGTCTCAGCCTCAGGAAACGGGATCTTGGAGAGTTGAGGGGAAACTGCCAGAGACGTCCAAGCAGTTGTGCAATCCTTGCTTGATAGCAGGCCTGTCATTGTAGCTTATCATAGAGATGGAAAATCACAGGCTGTCAGCGGTCAGTGCCATTCACGCTGCACCACTCTGACACCCTGTACTCAGAGGTTACTTCATCCAAACACAGCACAGCATGCACTGCTGTGGGCGTGCCCCTTCTTTCCTCCCACCCGCCTGGAGTTCCTAGGCCTGTGTCACCAGCACGTGACTGGGTGCAGCAGGGACTCCAGCATAATGGTCGAACCCCTCGAATGTGCAGGCTCTGAGAACTTGCTTGGTTCAGGAGGTGTGTATGTGTAGCTGGACAGCAGGTGTCCTTTGCTAGTCAGGGCGTGGCAAGGAAGACCGAGCATCTCCCTCAGAAGGTGGACGAGCCAGCTGAAAAGTGGCATTTGGGGAAGGGCAGGGGACAAGGTGTCCTGTGGAACAGGCTGAGAGGCAGCTGAAAGCTGGGCCTGGGAGAGAGTGGGTAAGGGAGTGGAGTCAGGGCAGGAGTCAGGAAGATGCCGAGGGCTCCAGCACTGGCTGTTGAGGGAGGGCTTCCTTTGTGGAAGCATCTTCCTGTGGCCATAGCGAAGTTTGTGTAGCCAGTTCCTTAGTGTGGGTATTTAGAAACATTAGAATATTATTTTAAAATTGACCTTTATTGGTGAAAGCATTACAGATGTCTGCTTTGTCTCTCTCCCTCCCACCCTCCTGGCCCCCCTGCATGAATCCCCTCCTCCTTGAACTCACCCCTCTCAAGCCTCTGCCACACTATTGGCTGTGTCCATGGGCTATGCATCTGTGCATATAAGTTCCCCGGTTAATCTTTGAAATTCATCAGTCTATAATACAGACAATGCAGTAACACAGCTAAATCTTTGTCCATATCCATGATCACAGCCCACGGATAAGCTCTGAGAAGTCAAGTTGCTGGGTCAAAAAGCACCGTTTTGAAGCTTTTGGTTCAGATTTCCAAACTGCTCATCACCAAGGCTATGTCAGCTGATCTTTCTGGAAGTGCTCATTTCCCTAACCCCGGCCCGACTGCAATAGAGGTAGGCTTATCCATCTATTTCATTTTCTTGTCATAGTGCACATTTCCTAGATTTGCCAATTACGGTGATGGAGGACATCATGGTTTAATTATGGAAATTAATTAAAATGCTTTTAGTGCTTTGTCATTTAGGCAAAATTTGCTCTTGGTTTCTGGGAAATAGTCTTCATTATATTTAAAAAGTTTTCCTTCTAGTCCTATTTTTAGGTATTTTATTAAGACTGCTGCATTTAATTAAATGCCTTTCAGCATTTATTGGAAATATCATAGGGTTTTTTTTTTTCTGTTTTAATTTGTTTGTGTTATATATAATGTTGACTGATTTCCTGGGAGCGAACCATTGATGCATCTGGGAATTTAATTTGTTCCCTGCTTCAGCAATTACATGCATTGCTGGACTATATGTCTAACACCATGATTAGAATTTTGCTTTTGTATTCATGAGATTAAAAATAGCATAAAAATATAAACTAATCGGTTTTTATAATTATACCAGTTATTTAAAACAAATACTGGAGCTGCACATTGCCCCCCATGATCTGAGAGAGTTAATATTAAAATTGTATTTTGAAGATTTGAGAAAACTCAGATATATAGTTTTCTATGATAGACCTTTAATCTTTTAGAAACCTCTTCAAAGGTAATTGTTCTAGTTTAACTTTTCCTTTTCTTAGGTCAGTCTGTCCCTCCCCTCCTCCCCTGATCCTACATTTTGTAAATAATCATTTCTTCTAGGTTTTAAAATTTGCTGCCCCAGAATTGCAATGTAGTATTATTTTACAATTATTTTCATTCTCCTGTATCTGTAGTCATAGCCTTCTTTCATTCTTCATTTTGCCTCTTTTTCCTTTACCAGGTGTGAGAAGAATTTTTTTTCATGTTTTTACTTGTTAGATATCTGCTTCTCTATTTGTTCTCTAATTATTGTTTCTATTAATTTCTATTCTTACCAGTTATTTTGTTCTTTTCCTAATATCTTAACACAAATACTTGCTTTGCAGGGTCTGAAGACACAAATATTCCTTGTATACACTTTCTCTGTCTCCTATAGGTTTTAATGTGAAACACTCTCTTTTTCATTACTTTTGAGACAGTTTATAACTTCCCTTTTAATTTCCGCTTTGATCCAATAATGATCCGGAGTGTTTCCTTATTAAGTCACATTTTATTTAGGTCACATATTAATTACTTCTAATTATCAGATAATGTTGTCTATAACATCTATAAAATTTATAAATGTTTTCTTCATGATTACTGGTACACTTATTTATATGTGAACGTGTGAATAAACTATTTGCAGCTGAAAGGTTTCCTATATATTAATTAAACCAAGTTCCTCAGTCATATTATTCAATTTTCCCATGTCATCATTTTGTCTCCTTGGTTACAATATAAGTGTATTTTAAATAAAATCCTCCTTGTATTTTCAAACGCTCTTATGTATTTAGTTGTCATGGTGTTGGAGATCTACTGGCTATTTGTTGTCACATCTCTCCTTATGCTGGTATCTTTAACCTTAAGTCCCACCTTGTCTGGTACTAGTATTACCACCTGTACGTATCTCTCAGCTCTCCTATCATCACTAGTTCCAGGGCTCTAAATTCAATCTCATTATCATTTTGTTTTATGTGTTTCTCATAAACACATTAGAGCTAGTTTTCTTTCTTTCCTTCTTTTTTTAAAGCCCAACCTGATCACCTCTGCTTTCAACAGAATTTAGTTCTCAGCTATTAATTTCAAACATTCTCTATATCCTCTCTTATTCAAGTAAAATGACACTTTTGAGTATTCTTACTCCCTTCTCTTTGCTCCACTCTGTACCCTCATTTTGACTAAATATATCTTTAGTTGTAGTCTACTTTCAGGATTTCTCTGTGTGTCTCTGCTAATTCTAACATCTTTACTTACCACTGATTATACATTTCCAGATAGTTTCTCCTCATCCATGTTATTTAGTTTTAATCCTCACCTAATGATATGTTTTGATTGATTTTGAGAGAGAGAAACATTGATCTGTTGTCTCCTGCATGTGCCTCGATCAGGGATCAAACCTGCAACCTAGGCATGTGCCCTGACCGAACCTATAACCTTTTGGTGTATGGGATCATGCTCCAACCAACTAAGCCGTCCATCTATGGCATCCATCTTACACCATCCTCTCCAGGTTCTTTACTTATGACTGTCTTTTCTTTATCCTTCTCCGTTTTGAAGTCTCTAATCTGGTTCCTCAAATGTGTTCCCAGGTGTGCACATGAGTGATATGCTCTCTGGATTCTGCATATTCTTATATATTTCCTTTGTCCTGACAGGTAAATGATATCTTGGTGGGTTACAGGATTCTTGGACATCAGCCCTTTTATCTAACTAATGTGACTCCATGATCTTCCAGGTCCTGTTGCAGATGAAAAGTTCAAGGCCCATCGGATTGTTTCTTCTGCAGGTAACTGTTCCTTCTGCCTTGGAAGATTTCCCCTCTTTTACTAGCAAAGGCAGAGATGTGTCATTTCTCCTAAGACAAGCCAGGAAGTTGTAGATCCTCTTGGAAATTTTATTCCAAATGTATTTATGTTGGACTCCATTCCAATAGTTTCCTTTTCTCTTTCTAAACTTCCATGTTCTGAGATGTTGTGTCTCAGTCTCTTCATATACTTGGGTCTTGGTAGAAAACATGCATTTCCCAATTTATCTACTGCAGTTGAAAACTAGAAAAGCATTTTGTTCATTTTTAGTTCCAGAAGAATCTTTTGTGGTGGCCCCTCCCATTGAGTTTCCTCAAGTGCTTTCTTAGAGCTGCCGAGGGACCAATAATAAGACCAATTTCTATGGGCTTATCCTCCATTCCGAGTGACCTTTATCTTGGGTCCTAGGAGTTCTAATAGATTGTTATCATTTGTTGTCAGCTCACGGGGGCTCAGGACGGGTTGATGAGTTCAGTCACCCACACAGCCTCAGTTTGCAGGTGGTGAAGCTGTGCCCTCCCCCTGGTGCAGCAAAGGAAGGCAGGAGGCCAGTCCCCGGAGGAAGATTCTCTAGAGCAGGGTGTTCACGGCCTCTCACCAGTCTTAGGAATAGGGTGAACTTGGCTCCACCTGCAGCCCTTCTCAGCTGGGATTCGGAGAAATAATTAAACCCTAAGGCCTAAGGCATCCACTTTATGTAACGGATTACCTTTTCTGAGCATCTGGAATTGGTTCTATGCATCATTTTGGGGAGAATTGAGAAAATAGGCATTCAAATTACTTTATGTAGATCTTAATCCTCTCGCGCATCCCTGATGAGAAAGGCTGAGCCCCACACGCACATACACACACATAGGTGGCGTGGGTCTTTCCTGGCTGGCAGAGGGGGGATCCCACAGATCTCTGGGGCCCAAGCTCTTCTCGGGAGGGGGTACAACAACTGGAGTGGGGGCTGCAGAGCCTGCTGCGGGGGTTGGACCATGGGCAGATGACCTAACTCTTCTGTGCCCTCCCACACTGGGGGCACTCCACAAACACACTTCCGTTTATGGACATAATTGCTGCTGCTTCCTTTCCTTCCCCTTCCTTATTGGCCAGCGTCTAGTGCTTGCTTTGATACTAAATTTCTAGCCCACCCAGCTCAAGGTGAAGAGAGCCTGTCTCCTTGCCGGGACTCTCGTCCCTCCTGAGCCAGGATTTCCTGGGGTCAACAGTACAGCATTGAAGACTGGTGTTGTGGGGCCTGGGAATTGTCATACACGAGAATCCTACCTATTCTGAGTAATACTGTCTTTAATTGCAGGCCTTGCTGAAGACACCCTGTCAATTGCCTGTGAGGAGTGTTGGCCTGAAGCTGTTGCCTACCCTCTCCTTAAGCACTATGGATACGTTGTGGATAAATGGGACTAGTCAGTAGGGAAGTGGGAGACAAACAGGGAGAGATGAGGTAGGGGTTAGACTCCACATGTTCGACATACCTGGAGGCTTGGCTGGGACTTGTGCACATCCCCCCAGCTCAGGACCCACACTTGGTCATGTGACTTGTCATAGGTCAGCTTAGCCGGCAGGGGATCCACACCTATGGACTTAAACAACAACAAAGAGACAAGTTGGTCATGGCTGCCGTAGGGGCTGACACAGTGGTGGTTTCTGGGTGTTGTGCACGTGGCTGTCACTCCTGGGTAAGGGGCAGGCAGCCCAAGGCAGAAGCCTGCCTTCCGGTGTGTTGTTTTCAGAGGCATAAAATGGGTGGTTAATGATTTCTCCCTTTTAAAAACTCCTTGTGTGTTTTACTTAAAGGAGAGGCCCAGGTCATCTTTACAGAAGCCTAAACCCAGAAGCTTTAAGTTATCCATTTAAGAGTCGACTGAGGACCCTTCCATCACATCTCCTGGAAGCCTTTTGGGCCTCCTAGAGCTATGGTGGGCAAACTGAGGCTCTTTGGTCCTTTGAGTTTTTAGCAAGGCCAGCTTAGGAGTACCCTAATTAAGGTAATAATAATGTACCTATCTATATAGTTTAAGTTTTAAAAATTTTGGCTTTCAAAATCGTTGTGCTGTTGATATTTGGCTCTGTTGACTAATGAGTTTGCTGACCACTGGGCTAGACCCTCGGCGTCCTTCCCCAGGCTGCTCCAAGGTCCGGGTACTGGTGAGTGGGCCCTTCTCCTGGGTCATTGGAGATCATCCTTTATCATCTTATCTTTCCACAGCCTCTGTCTTGCACATCCCTTAGCGGGAGTTGCTGGGACTCAAACTATAGCACCAGGCAGTTATTTTTACTCCTGTAACTGACACTCTGCTCTCCCCAGAGGACAGCGCTTCCTCTGTAGCCCTGGCAAATGGAGACTTTCCCCTCTTCTGCTATAATGTAGTTCTAAACCCTCTTCTATGGTGATTCATTCTCAGTTCCTTCTTGGTTTCAATGATCTTTCCTTCCTCCCCATCTCAGCCACCATAACTTACACCTTGACAATATAATCTCTGAAATTTCAATTTCAACTAACCAGATTCTAGCTTTTCAGCTTTTAGGAGAGAAAACCCCATTGGTCAAACCTTCTAATGGAGCCCCTGAATCCACCTTTCCTTTCCTCATTCCCACCAAGTGTCTGTCTTCATTACTTCACTGACAGTTTCTAGTCCTTTGTGTCAGATTCAGAGGGTTATCATTAAAAAAAATAAAAAGAAAATTCTCTCCTGCAGAGATGTTTACTGGTTTTAGAGAGAAAGAGAAATTGATGTGAGAAACATCAATTGGTTGCCACCTGTATGTACCCCAACTGGGGATCGAACCCACAACCTTTTTGGTGTACACAGGATGACACTCCAACCAACTGAGCCACCTGGCCAGAGCGTCACCTTTGTGATCCTCCTCTTACTTGATATTTCAGCAAGACTCCACGTGGCTAATTATTTCTTTCTGAAAACATTTTCTTCATGCAGCCTCCCACCTCCCTAGCCTTTATCTTCCTCATCCTGACTCTGAGCGTGGCTATGTCCCAGGCCTTCAGCTTCGACCTTCTGTTGTCTACATCCTGGCCCTGAGTGAGCTCACCCATTCCGTGGCTGCAGCTAACCTACTGCGCTCCGAGGACGTTCGAGTTCACTCCTCTGTCCATGAGCTCAACTTAACATTTACAAAACCGAACTCTTTGATTTTGTTACCTGCTGAAATATATTGTTTTTCTCCATTCACCACCATCTTTGAAGTCTCGTTTTACTTTCTTGATCTAATTAAAACCTTCTGTTCTCTGAAGCCCCAAGGCTGTTACTGCTTTTCTATACCTCACACAACTCAGGTCCTTTGTTCATGTCAAGTGTACTTGTTACTCCCAGCTTCCTGGCTACTCTTTCCACTTACCAAAAGCTCTGAGATCTGCCACTGTCTTCCTCTACCCAGAGCTTCTTAACACACCAGCAATACCACCTCGACACCATCTCTAGATTATTGTACACTCTCTCTCTCTTAAAAATACCTCCTGACTACACATCCCTCTTCACAACAAAACCTCCCTAAGGTTTGGACTGCAGCCATTGTCTCTTCTTTCTGCTTAACCTTTATCATCACATTTCATATTCTCATTTGAGCTGTTGTGGAGCAAGAGTCTAAGATTTTTGGCTTAGCTCTTCAAATTCAGAACAGACTTACCCACAGTCTCAAGATGCCAAGGAACAAAGGGTAAAGGTCCTGAAGAACACGTCACTCCATTAGGAGTGAGGCTTTACAAAAACCTCCACTCCGCTTTGATTCAATTTAGTACTTGGTAAGATTAAAAGATTCATTCCCTATTATTTCTGCCTAAAAAAGGAAATGGTAAACTTTCTTCTGTGGATGAGAGCCATTTAAAGTCTCTAAAATATTTTATATGGAATGTTGTTATACATGCATGGATAGAACATATCCAAATTGAAGTACAAAGAGGCAAAAAAGGATGGAAAAGGAGAGTGGAAAAGATTAGTGAGGTACAACGGAAAGGTCTAGGGTCTTTCTTTCTTTCTTTCTTTCTTTCTTTCTTTCTTTCTTTCTTTCTTTTCTTTCTTTCTTTTTTTTAAACAGCTCCAAAAGAAGAGACAAGAGAGCATGAGACAACATACTATTTGAAGAAATATATCAATCCATACAATCAAGAACCCTTAAAACCCCATATGAAAATAAATAGAACACATTAGCTGGCACATCTTAGTAAAACTTCTAAAGACCAACAAGAAAATCTGAAAATTAGTTTAAAAAGTGACATTATTACCTTCAAAAGATTGACAGTTGACCTATTAATAAGAATGGGAGATAATAGAGAAGCATCTTAAAATGCTGAAAATACATAATTGCTAATAATGTAGAATTCTATATTCAGTGAAAATATACTTTTAACATTATTTGTCCTTTATGTATTTTTATTTTCAAATAACCCAAAACTCCGAGACACTGTTGCCAGCAATCCTGCACCAAAAGAACCATTAAAGAACATTTTTAGGAAGAATGAAAATGATCCCAGATCTAACTATGTACTTCAGAGGAATAAAGAGCAATAAAAAAGGTAAATATGTGGATTAATATAAATGACTATCAACTGTACAAAATAATAATAGGCATTTCTTCAGGGGTTAAATTATATGTAGAGTTAAAATTCATTCCTACAATAATGTAAAAGGTTGGAGGGAGAGTTAAATTAAAAGAGTTCGTTCTAAGGTTCTATCATTAATGGGGAAGTGAAATAATTTGTATGAAACTATATCGAGGTAAGGATGCATGTCGTAATCTCAATGGTGGTAATAATAATATAAAAGAATGAATTGTCAACAAGCTAACAGAGGGAAAATGGAATAATAAAAGTGTTTGGCTAATTTAAAAAGTAAAAAGGAGAGAAAAGCAAAATAAACAGGTTAAATTAAAAAAAAGTATGATACTAGATAATACTATATAAATTGATTATAATAAACATAAATGGATCAAATATCCCAAATAAAAGGCCAAGATTATTAAACTAGATAAAAGCTGAAAGACTTTATAAAAGACCATCTTAAATACCTGGACATAGAAAGGTTGAAAGTAAAAGGATAGGAAATTATACCATAACACTAATCACAATAAATCTGATTTAGCTATACTCAGATCAAAATAGACTTTCAGGCAAGAAGCAACATCATTAATAAAGAGGAATATTTTATTAGAATAAAGGACTCTCCCTCTCCAGGAGGTATTATAATTTTAAAGCAGAAATGGATAGAACTACAATAATGGTGGGAAATTTCAACATACTTCCCAACGCTGTTAGGCTAAGTGAACAACAACAACAACAACAAAATCTCCAGGTATTTTAAATTATTCAGAATATGTTCTCTGGCCAGGGAAATCAATAGCCTCCTGTTGTATTTGTCAGGAAAAACCACTAACTTGGTTATATCCAACTTTCTCCATACAGTAAGTCTGTACCAGGGCAGCTAAACATTGCTGGGGAAAAAGATCCAGCCTTGCTCACTGACCTCACTTTAAATTTACATCCACAATCCCTATGTGGGCCTTCACGATTACCCAGAAGCCCCATCACATTTCCTGGATAAATTCAATCTCACATGCAGCTTTCACCTCTCCTCCAACCTCGGAGATAATTTTTCTTATTCCCTGAGAAAACTGAAGCAACCAGAAGAGAAGTTCATCTACTACCAGCCCCCAAATCAGGTATTTGCACCGCGGTACCTGTGTCCTTTCTTTCCTCCTCCTACAGTGAAAGGATGTGCTTTTATCTGAGGCCAGCATCTCCACTTGCCTGTCCTGGACTTCACGGATCCCTGTTTACTTCCACGAGGCAGAAGAATTCGGGGAAACAGCTCCCTGCATCAGCATACCAATGCTATCATGTCACCTGTGCTAAAAATAAAGCTCCTTCCATATCTTCTTCCTGCCACTGCTCATTACTTGTACTCACCTTTACAGCAAACCTCCACAAAGTGGTTGCCTATACTCACCCTTTCCACTTCCTTACCATTCTCACTTGGATCAGCTCCCTCAGGCTTGCCTTCCACCATCCTCTCTGTTCCTGCCTGCCAAGGGGATCCACATGGTACCCAATTCCGTGGCCAGTTTTCATAACGTGCAAATGCTCTCTGCAACATTTGATACCGCTGACCACTAGCTCTCCCTTAAAACATTTTTCTGGAATACCTCAATCTCTAATTTTCTTGGTTCCTTTCAGCTACTCCTTTAGGTCTTGTCTTCTCATTGGCTTTTTCTCTCATTCGTGATCTCTAAGTGTTAGTGTGCTCAAACCTGTACCTCTGCTCTGTCTATACTCCCCTCGGTGACTTCTCACCCAGTTCTCTGGATTTAATATGGTTCATACGGTGATGATACCCTCACTGACATCTCCAGACCTGTTCATCTGTTTACGTGATTATATATACATCACCTGAAACTGAACAGAGCCAAAACTGACTTCCTAATTTTCTCCCCTAGCCTTGCTCTCGTCAGTAACATATTATCACAAACTTAGTGGCTTAAAGCAACACAAGCTATTCTCTTACAGTTTCTGGAGGCCAGAAGTCTGAAATTAATTTCCTTGGGGTGAACCAACATGGCTCTGTAACTCGCGCTAGAGCAGTTTCTCAACCTTTCTTATGCGGCAACCTTTTAATACCGTTCCTCATGTGTGGTGACCCCCAACCATAAAATTATTTTTGTTGCTACTTCATAACTGTAATTTTGCTACTGTTATGAACTGTAATGTAAATACGACCCACAGGTTGAGAACCGCTAGCAGAGACGCCTAAGACCATCGGAAAACACAATATTTACATTACGATGCATTACAGTTATGAAGTGGCAACAAAAATAATTTTATGGTTGGGGGTCACCACAACATGAGGAGATGTATTAAAGGGTTGTGGCAGTTCCTCTATCCCATTTCACCTCCAGGAACATAGCACTCACTATTTAAAACTCCCTAACATTCTGGTGTATGGTCTGTTTCCCCAGCTACGATAGAAGACCTAGAACTTCCTTGCTCATTGTTGGCTGTTTTCCAAGCACCTAGAACGGTGCATTGCATCGCACAGGAACCTCCTCTGCGTTCCCCCTCCGGCCTGACCAGCCCTCACAGTAGCCGGAGAGGGTGCAGAAAGCAAAGACGACTTTGGCCCCACTCCCTCAGACAGGCGTACCTGTAGGACTTTCTGGGCTTGAACGTCGACCACGAGGACTCTGTTCAGTGTCGGTTGGGCCACGTAGATGTACCGGTGCCTGACGTTCACTGCCGACGCCCACTGGCATGGCTGGGTGTTGTCTCCTTCTGTTTGAGGACAGATTTCGTCCTGTGAAGGATATGGGCTACCATGAATACTTCTTAATCCCCTGTCCTCCATCCCCCTGACCTCTCAGGATCCCCTCTCTCCTGTCTCTCCTCGGTCCCTTTCTTGCCACAGAGAATCCTTTGGATTCACAGAACATGGCACACAGCCTTCCCACCTCACCGAGTCCCATCCCCCCGCTTCTTCCGAGGCTGTACCTCCCCTGCAGCCTTAATCAGCAGCTTCCAGGGCCAGAATCTTCCGCTCTTTTGTGCTACTTTCTTTCTGTCCTCATCACCAGTATTTTAAAAACGACTCTTAATGGCCAGACTTCTGAAAGAGTTCCCTACACTTTTCTGCTTCCTCACCGCTCACATGCTCCTTAACCCCCTGCTGTAGAACCCACCACAAAGCTGGGAGTGTTCTCACCAAGGTCAATGTTGACTCCTCAGTTGTAAATTAATCCCTGGCCATAGTTTTATTCGAACTTGGGGCACCATCTGACTACTCCTTGGTTCTTCTCCCTCCGTTCCACTCCAGTGGCTGGGCCTTTTCTGTTGCTGGATCCTGCAGAGTTCACCCTGAATAACTTTTCTTCTCTGAAGTTAATCTCACCCAAACCTATGGCCTTAGCTACAGTCTCTATGCCTACAACTCCCAAATTTGTCTTTAGCTCATACTCCTTTTTTCTGAACTCCAGACTTACCTAGCCAACTACTTAGCTTGACTTGATTGCTTAATGAACATCTCAGACATGTAAGTCCAAAATCAACTCTCAATTTTACCATCAGCCCTGCTCATTCCATTAAAAAAAACAATGACATCTCCATTGCTTTACTTCCTTGGACCAAAAACTTTGAGGCCGCCCTAGCTGGTTTAGCTCAGTAGAGCGTTGGCCCAAGAACTGAAGAGTCAGGGGTTTGATTCCAGTCAAGGGCACGTCCCTCGGTTGCAGCCTGTGCCCTTACCAATTAAACATGCTGCTTCCCGCTAAACAAAGTGGATGGACATCTAACCCAGCAGAGGCCGAGAGAAGATGCACCAACTCCCTCCTCACCCAGTAGAAGGAGGGCCGTTCCGCTGTAACCCTCCCATGGGGTGTTTGGCACTCTCATCCTGCTAGTAAGACTGGCCTCCCCTCAGGTCCCCTGTGGTTTTACCTGTGACTGTCTCTAAGTTCATGCAATTCTCCCCTTTCCCACGGCCACAGGCCTAACCAGGACACCACCTTCCCACCTGGACAATTATAATGATCTCTCCACTCTCTCTGTGCTGCTGGCCAGCCCTTTACCACCTGCCCTCATGAGGTCTTGCATGTGTTCCTGATCATGGCTGCCCTTCGTCTGAAGTTCTCAGGGGCCCCCAGAGCGTTAGGGTACCGTTTGATCTCCTTAGCTTTGACCCTTCCCAATTCCAGCCCCTTCCCACACCCACCCTTCCCTCTAGGCACACGGAGTACTTTCCGTTTCCCGAACAGGACATATCTCATCCTCTACTCTCCATGTTAATGACATTCATTCCAGAAACCCGTCACCAACCCTGACTCACTCTTCAAAACTGAGCCCAGGGATCACATGTCCCAGGGGCCTTCGCTCCTCAGTTTCCAGCCCACCTTCCACATCTGCCAACAGCACCTACTGGGTAGCTGTGAACTTGAGGAGCCAGGAACCCACTCATAGGCCTGGGCCTCCCCTCGGGCTCAGTGCATGGACGTGGTACATGCTCAGCCTCGTGCTCCCTGAGCCTTGGGACAAATGTGGAACCACACCACATGTAGTAGGTAGAATCTAAGAGCCAAATGGCACCCACGATGAAAGACTGACTTTAGGATTTTGTCCGTGTGTGATGCGGACGTGCTCTGGGCATGGGAACCTACATAGCTCATGACGATCTTCTCAGAGGGTTTGAGGTGCCTCTGGATCTCACAGTCCACGGGGTGCAGGATGATAATGCCATCATCGGAGAAGACATAGAACATGTTTCCCACACTGAGGCCTGGAAGGGGCAAACACAGCCATGGTTATGTCCCTCCAGCAGCTGCTGCCCCCCGCCCCTCCCCCTCCCCCCCATGGGGTCACATGTCATATCGGACACACACAAAACCGCAGCTCGGGTACAGGCACACAGTGAAAGTCCTAGTGAAGGTGGGTGAGGTGAGATGAGCAGGAGGTATGGGAGCATGGGAGAAGGTGCCCGAGGGCTGTCAATCAGAACAGCACACAGAGGGCTCTGCAGTCCCCAGGTGTCCTTCCAGACACACATGTCAGTCAACTAGAGCTGGCCACCTACACAGGTTTTCAAATAAACGACAGCCTTGCGTTGACATACATCTGACCGCTCCTGTTCTGAAAGGCAAAGCCTCCCTTGGTCTTCGTTGTCCACTCCATGCAGAATGGCTGAGGTGATTCCCTGAGGCAAAGGCCCTTATTTCGAACAGTTAGGTGCAGCACCACTTCCTGGAGTGTGGGGCCCTCGGAATGCTGGGGCAGGTGCTCCAAACTGAGTCTCCGCCTGTCTGTGCCGGCAAACCCCCCCCCCCCCCCAAGCCTGCGGGCTCCACCTCTGCCCAGCGGTGTCTCTGTGGCAGCTCTCGCCAGGTGACAGGGCCACAGCGGGTTGTGCCGGCCTGCCTGGCCCCACCCGGCCCAGGGCTCGGCCGTCTGGGAAGAAAAGGCCTTGGGGACCACCAGCTAGTGTAGCCTCCTTTTGAGGTCCAAGGAGGCCACCTGCCTTTGTGCACAGTTGGGGTTAGACCCTGAGTCCCCTGCTCAGAGTGTCCCCTCACGCTGCCTTTCCATAAAAGGCCAACCTGGCACAGAGATGGGTAAGGCTGGAGTTCTTCCTCCCACTTTCTCCCCACTCTTTCATATATTTTGAAGGTAGAACAATAAAAAGATTTCTATAAGTTCTAATATATATATATATATATATATATATATATATATATATATGTGTGTGTGTGTGTGTGTGTGTGTGTGTGTGTTTGTGTATTAAATAAATATGCAGAGAACTCTTTCCTAAGGGACAGAGGTCACTGAGTCCATGAAGCAACCTCGACTAACTCTGGTTCTGTGCTCAGAGGGCTCTAGGCAAGAGGGTGTCTGCATGACAAATTGACCCCTGCCTCTCAAAGCTGGCATGGACCAGGGGTATCCGCCTAGCTGCCGAGGGGAGCCTGGGTGCTGGGCAGCCTGCCCCTGAGTGTCAGATAAGCCATGAGTGCCGGGTCTCAGCCCTCAGCAGGACCTTTGCTCCTGTCCCCTCTCCCCTGGCAAACTCACACCTAGGGGCCCGAGGGGTCAAAGCCCTTGCTCCACAGCAGACCCTAGGAATAGCCTCCTGAGGCCTCTCAGAAAACTGATGTTCGGAAGGACCAACGCCAGATTGAAGGCTTAATAGAATCTCCATGGGTCTGCAGCTGTAGCTACATTTCAGGCCTTGCTCACAGTTGGCAATGGAACATGAGACTAAACAAATACTCAACAATTGACTTCACAGGAGACACAGTCTCACGATCAAGCTTCTGTCTGGGCTTTGCTTCTACTAAGGGGCCACCGAGGAGCTTTCCTTACTCTGTGCTCTCACCACCTCATTTCTCCCGGGAGACTTGAGAGCGCCCTGTGGTCGGGCAGCTTGCCTCTCTGTTTTGGCCTCTGCATTTCCCTATCTCCCGGCCTTGAGTCTTAGCGGTGAAGGGTACCAGTGCCGGCTGCCCAGGCATGATGGGAAGTGCTGCTGGCTTGTCCGATATCAGTGCAGCACCTGCCAGCCTTTGGGCAGCATTAGTCTAAGTGGGCCTCCCTAGCAGGACTTCACACCGCCAGGGCCCCCTGCATCCTCTGGGTCCCTTTGCAGTGACCTCCTTAGAAAAACACTACCTCACCCTAACCGGTTTGTCCCTTTGATTTTTTTTTTTAGCAAAGGCCAGCTTAGGAGTACCCTAATTAAGTTAACAATGTACCTACCTATATGGTTTAAGTTTAAAAAATTTGGCTCTCAAAAGAAATTTCAATCATTGTACTGTTGATATTCGGCTCTGTTGACTAATGAGTTTGCCGACCACTGTACCAGGAGGTTTGAAATCTGCTTCTCAGGGTGCACCACTTGGGTTTGACTTGGACCTGCCCCCTCTGGTCTGATTCGGCACGTGAACCCCGTTTGTGGGACTGTTTGGCGTTCATGGGATGATGGGCTGTTTTGGAACTACAAACACACGTGGCCACAGACACAACACAGAACGAGTGAGCTGGTACCTTCCTCGCGCCAGAGGATGTTTGCAACTGCAGCAGCGGAGAATTGGGAGAGCGAGAGCCGGTGGAGGGAGGAAAAGAAGAAGAAAGCAGAGTGAGAACCTTCCTCACAGTGTCAGTTCGAGAACACCTGCCATTGAGTGCACAGAACGGCACCACTGCCTGTCCATGGGGGACTGTGCACATGGACAAACACCTCCGGGTCTCAGGACACTTTCAATTCTGAATGAGTCCTTGACATCAGGTCCCAGGATCCCAGAAGCTAATGGGGTTTCCTACTTCCCGAGATGACAGAGAGAAAACTACATCTCTCTCAGACATTCAGGTACTTCCAGGAGAGTCCTGACTTCCAACTAGGATCCTCCTTATCGGAAACACTTCTGATGGCCTCTGTGCTGGGAAACACTCAGCTTGGAGCCTGTGACTGAGGGAATGAGACCCTGGCCAGCACCCATGTCCTTGAAGTCACAGCAGCAGACCCACTTGGGGAGCAGCGGCCACAGGGAGAGCACCCTTAGCACCCAGGTGGGCGGCTTCCCCGGATAAAAGCCAGTCCCTGGGCCACATGGGACAGCGGCCCCTGGTGGGTGGATAGTAGGGGGCATTTTGTAGATGAGGGCAGAGGTTCTAGGGCAGGTAGGAAGCAGGACTGGGGCCAGGATGCGTGAGCTTCCTTATGGTCCTGGCTCTGTCTGCTGTCCAGAGTGTTCCTCTATGTTTCTGGAGTCATCCAGGTGACCAGGGCAGGTGTGCTCCCCACTGGGCACCCTCTGTCCGCAGGTTTGAGCACAGATGGAGATGAGAGTTCCCCTGTCTTCAGGGGCTCACGGTTGACAGCGTTGGCTCTGGTCAGTGACTTCCCTCCCTGACACCCCGCACGTCCCACCAGCTCAGTGAAGAGCTCAAAGGCAAGCGGGGACTCACGGGTCTTTCTAGCCGAGTCTTCAACGAAGAGTGAGGAGATATCTTCGTCCACGCCCACTTCGTTTTTGGCGATGCAGGTGTACGCCCCCGTGTCTTCATAGCGGACGCTGCCGATGTGGAGTTCGCTCCCATTGGCTGCAGAGGGGACAGTGCTCAGCATGGCCGGCTCAGCCGGGACTCCACTTCCACCCTCCCCATGGGGGACTGTGCACATGGACAAACACCTGCTCACAGAACTATGGGCAGTGTTGGCAGTAACATCACGGAGCCCCTCAGCAAGGCTGAGGGCAGCCAACATCCCGGACAGTCACCCACAAAGGGCCAGAACAGCTGAATGAACTGAGGGTGACCTGGGACCCGACTGACAGTCCCTCATCACTGCCCTCAGAAAGCCCACAAAACTGTGGGAGCTCAGAGAGTAGAGCAGTCTGGGGTGACATCTGTTCACTCCAACATATCTGACTTAGAAACAACACAAGCCTCTCATTTCCATCTGGGAGGAGAGTGTCAGCTTGAACTTGGTGGGAACAGCACAGACACTGAGGGCGATTCTTACCCAAAAGGGAGAGCTGTTTAGACATCTGGGCCGAGACATCCATGCCGTTTTTCAGCCAAGTGATTCTGGGCATAGGGATGCCCTCTGCGTGGCATCTCAGACTGGCCGCCACCCCCGGCTCCTGTGCCTGGGTCTCCGGGTAGACGCGGATGACTGGTGGCACTGTGGGTGAGAATCAGTGCCGGTGAGAGAGGGCCCTCACCTGGCCTCGGGCCTGGGATCCAGCCCCGAAACCCTGCTCCAGGGAGGTGAGCCGAGAGGCAACTCAACACTTCCCTTTGTAAGCAGCTTACAATCACCCTATTCAGCAGCTCCAACCCTGAGAGAAAGCTATAAAATGGATTGCAGGCAACAAACACGTCAGGCTTTCTACCCTATAATTCATGGCTCTCATCGTTATTCTAAATATGACCAGAAAGGCACCCAAATATTTAATGTGGTTCAGCTGCTACATGGGAAGAGCAATAGCCACTGACATTTATTTCTGAGTGAATGAAATTCAGATATATTATCTCTGTGATCAGAAAGCCATTGGACAGAGGCTCATTTCTTGCAGGAAGTGCTTCACAAAGCACTTATGAGCGCCAACTGGCAGGCTACTCATTCTATCCCTGCTGTGGGGCAATCGTTGATTTTCCAGTGGGTCATTTTCACGGCTCCCCTTCTCAATCCCTGGAACACGGGCGGAAGGCAAGTGTGCCCTCCTCAACTCTGACTCGGCCGTGGGCCCTGGCAGTCCAGCTCAGGCTGGGGCTATGGCCCGGCCCACTCACCACGTGGGCATGGGTGGGCAAGGCATTACCCTCCATGCAACGCAGGCTTCTCTTGCCGGGCTATCTGCGGGGAGGGGCCCGGAAGAAGTGGAGACTGCCTGGAGGACCTTCCATCCTACCCCCAGCTTTGGGCCCAGGAGATAAAATAATTACCATTCTCAGTGGAATTGAGGGCTCTTCCCTACGCACACATTTTACGACACATACTTCCAAAACGGAAGTGAGAGTGTATGAAAAGGCACCTGGATATATCATATTGACTGAAACAGAAGCCTCATTCCTCTTGGAATGACGGGGAGGCATTCTTCCTGAAGTGGACAACTACTTGTCTGGGAGCTCTTATTGTCCAACAAGAGGCAGCATCCCAGATCCCAGTGCAAGGTGAAGGCAGAGCAGGTGGAAGGTACCCTCGCCTCTTCCCAGGACCAAACTGGAATTACAACTAAAATATAGAGCAATCACCCTGAATAACCACCTGAAGGCTAGCTGAAGAGAATTCTTGCAACTCGGGGGAAAAGGGGAACATTTGCAAAAAAGAAAAAGTCTTATAACCAAGAATTCACAGAAGAAGCCACACTGAGACAAGAGGAAGGGCAGAGACATGAGACGGGCTGGCCCCGCCCCAAGGGCAGTGGCTGGGACTCTGGAGGGGTCTCTCAGCTGCAAACGTTCCCCCTGAGGAATGGGGGTCTCAGCTCCATGCCGGGGCCCCCAGCACAGAGCACAGAGCTAGGGAGAGAAGCCCACATAACATCCGGCTGTGCAAGTCAGCGGGAAGTCTGTCTGCCAGGGAGAGACGGGAGCCTGCCAGAAACCCAGGCACCCTCTCACAGTGCACGGGGTCTCACTCATGGCCCCTCCCCCTGGGCTGCGGTGGAGGGAGAGCAGCTAGGAGCAGCCTGGAGTCGTATGATTGTTAGGTCTGGTCAAATAATGGAATCCATACCCTCTCCCCTGGGAACGGACCTTTAGGCCACTTCACAATGGACATGCCACTTGCTAAGACCGTTAGCTCTTCCCCCAGAATTTCCCGGAATCCAGACCTGCACGGAGAATTCTCCGCCCAGACAAAGCTGTCTAGGGCCCTTTAGAAACCTTGACTCCCGTCTTGGGGTGCTGGGCCATTTTGGGGCTCAGCCCATCTGGTGTCCAGATGACTTAATAAATTCATAACCCCTCACCCCTTTGGCCTCGCGCGTTCCTCCTTTGGTGACCCTAACTCCGAGGAGAGACGGGGCTGTGTGGCTCCGGGGAGATATCTGAAGGGAACGCGAACAGGTCCCCGTGCCAAGCCCCTCTCCTGCGCTGCCCACAGACGCCCGCTTTCTGGGCCAAGCACTCCCCTCCATTCGGTATCAGTAGGCCTTCACTGCCACCCTATCTAAAAGCCCCACCTTTTACCCGGCTCGCCTTATCCCTGCTTTAAAAAAAAATCCCTCCTTAGTGCCTTTCGCCCTTTGGCACATACATGAAGGCGGAGAGTTTGGTGTGTTCACGGCGATGCTTCTAGCGCTCCGCCGGTGAGTGGCATGTAACAGGAACTCCGTACATCTTTGTGGAATGAACAGAGTGATGACGACACTGAGATCTGAGAGAGAAGGGGGAGGTGGCAGCAAAGTGGGGGGCGTGGGGGAGCATTCTCAGGGAGGGAACAGTGAATGGCGGGGAGCCTGGAGGCCCCATGTTGGGGAAGCGAGAAGTGTTTGCGGGGCTGGAGCGGTGGGGAGGCGGGCAGGGCCAGCCCACCGCGCGGGAGTGCATGCATGTGTCTGTATGCGTGGAGGGTGGACTCCGGGGACAGGTGGCTGCATTGCCCCTCTCTGGGTGGCGAGGCCTCCCCTATTTTTCAGGAAGGATTGGTGGAGAGGAAACGGAAGCACAGCCGGGGCAGCAGTGGAAAGGGGCTCTGCGGACAGTCCGAGGCCCCCTGGCAACCTAGGAGCTCCACTGAGAAGCTCATCTTGCCTTGACCTGACCACCTGCCGAGGGAAAAACCAGCACAAGGATGTTAAAAAAAATAAAACAAAATAACCTGTCATTGTGGTGGGAGCTCACCACTGCCTCCAGGACCAAACCGTCCCCTTCACGTGTGATGAGGCGTCACGGAGCTGCTGTCGGTGCAGCGGGGCCCAGGCTCTGAGCCAGCACCTGTTCACCGCGGGCAGAAGCTGGGCCCCGCCTCCGGCCAGGACTGGCAGAGCCTGAGGAGAGCCCCGGGCAGGAGGCATCAGAGTCCTGGTGCCCGGGAGCCCCGTGGACGGGGCCCTGTCAGAAGAGTCCTGCCGCGGAGAAAGCATCCCGCCTGCCCCCCCCAGGGGATCAGCTCTCTGCCAGCAGCAAGGCAAGGGCCCGGCTGGCTTTGGTTTTTGGGGCCCTGATCTCCCCGCTTCTTTTGTGTAATCTGTGCACTAAAAATCACTTGAGATTAATATGTCCTGTGTAAACAACTTCATTAAAAAAAACAAACTTGCCGAGCCTTCCAGTGACAACGTCGGAATACGTGACGCGAAGGCCGCGTTCTTTGGACGCATCGGCCACTCCCGTGGCGGAAGGAGCACAGACGTGTCCCGAGTGAGAGGCACGTTCGCGGAAGCACCACGTGGGAGAAGCCCGCGGAGGCGGGAGATGATTATTGCGTGTTTTGGGGATGAATCTCTACTTGTCTGAACGGTGGGGAGGTCAAGGGTGTTTTTAATTTAATGGATTAATCATTTATGTCTGGAGCTCTTGCTCCTTCTGATGAAAGCAGCGCGGGAGGTTTGCATGAAGTTATAAATCATGTCAGTGTTTGGGCCTCATCTCTGGGAGGCTGGTCTATGGGAAGCAATACTAATAATCAGAGAGGCAGTAGTTTCCCGGGAGGGATTCCTTTAGCCACCCAGGTCAAGGCCGAGTCAGGGAGGGGGAGCTTCAGAAGGTGGTGGCCCAGGCTGTTTGGGGGCGGAGGGCGGGTGCTGCTCTTGCCACCAGGGAGTGAGGCAGCTCCAGGGAGAAGAAATCTATATTTTATTTCCCCTTTGGGGTCTTAATTTTCCCATCTGTATAATGGGTTTGAGGCTCTTTGAGGAGCCACTAACTCAGACCTTTGTCCACCCAATTACAGTAAAATATGGCTTGAGACAACCCCAAATCTCCCCCATATCTTCTCCTACCATGGACTTGGAACTCTTATCTGTATCAGGCTTTTCCATATATCATAGCTCATCAGGCCTATGAGGCAGGAGGTGCTGTTATTATTCCCATTTTACAGGTAAGTTTACTAGCCCAAGACTGCATGTCAAGGAAGTAGCAGCACTAGGTCTGTCTGGCTCAGAGTTCATGTCTTGACCCTGTGACAGAGGTGCTGGCAGCTTGGGTCTACCCCATGCCTAGGATGGCGCAGCCCCCAGCCCAGCTCCTGCTCCTGCTCCCAGGAGTGGCATCTCTGTCTCATGGGCCCACAGGCCACACACAACTATCAGCTGCTCCGGTGGAATCTCCTGAACCCCGCCCCCATCTCCTCCTTTCATCCTCCTCCCCTTCCTGTCTTCCTCCTGAGGCAATCCCAGCTGGAGGACCAGACACAGAACATTGCTCTCTCCGCCGAGCACTTCCTCAGAGTAAGCCATTGGCCACCTGCTGGGCACCCAAAGGGACCCCCAGCAGCCCTGCTGGGCCATGGCACCGAATTCTACCCAAGCTGCTCAGGGCCATCTTTCAAGCTTCGGGTGGTGGAAAGGAACAAGTCCCACAGGTGGATGTTGCCGCCTTCCCCCCCTTCCTTGGGGGGCTCCTTAGAAACGCAGTGGTCCGCGTGTCCTGAGCACCAGCAGTGCCTCTCCGACTCCCAGGTCCTCCTGCCCGGACGCTACTTGCTGGCACCAGGCCACAACCCGCAAAGCTCCCCAGACCCCTACCTCTGTGAGCCTCCTGGGAACCCGAACAGCATGGAGAGTGTGCACAGTGACCTGCTCAGCCCCACCCAGAGCTGATGACACCAGCCATGCAGTCCTCCAGCTCCTGTCATGCTGGGCAGGGACTGGGCCTTATGTCACTGCCAGGGGTCCTTCGTCAGATTCTCGCCAGGCCAGCTGCTTCTGATCAGGTCTAAGCTCAACACCAGGACAGAGATGAACGAGGCGGGGTCCTGTCCCCTGTCCCCCACAGTGTGCAGCCATGCAGCCATACAGAAGCGTCGTTTCTTTAATACGGCGTTTCCCTTAATTCAAGCCAGCTCTGTCCAGTGCCCAGGGTGCTGACCCGCACAGCACTGCGGGGGGACAGTGGCCTGTTTGTTCTGATGGCTGGCGTGGCCAGGTTGGAACAGAGCATGCATCTCAGACGGCCTCTCTTGGGAGCTCTGTGGGGAGGTTTTGGTGCCGGTGGGGCTGTGAGGAGAGGGAGAAGGAGGGAGGGGGGTAGAGGCCTGGGAGGTAGAGCCCTCCCCAGTGCCAGGTGGACAGTCCACTCCCATCTGGTGGGAGGAGTCTCTTCTCTCCTTGGAGCCCAGCGCCACCACAGGTGTGTGTGGGCCTGCGATTGGCTGTGGTTTTGGCCCAGGGCGGGAAGAACCGGCTCCTCCACATCCTGAGCTCAGCCTCAGAATTCTGGGGGACTTGGGGCAGAAGGCCCTCCTAGCGTCATGGCGTGGCCACTTACTGCAGGAAGGCATGTGAGACCACAGTCTCCTCTAGAGACCCAGGCCCACCTGTGAGTGCCGGGCAGGTGGCTCCAGCCTTCCTCACAGACCTGCTTTGAGGGGAGTACCGTATTTTCCGGCGTATAAGACGATCCCTAATTTTACAGTTAAAACATAGGTTTAGGCCTATATTCGCTGTATAAGACTACCCCCCACTTCTGAGGCAACACCAGTTCCTTTTTAATAGACTGCCTCTCTGACTCTGGCCAATCTGAGCAGGCTTTTTACTAGAACACAGTGTAGCTTCGGGTACAGAACATGTACACTGTGTCAAGTAAAAAGCCTGCTCAGATTGGCCAGAGTCAGAGAGGCGGTCTATTAAAAAAAGAACTGGTGTTGCCTCGGAAGTGGGGGGTAGTCTTTTACAGCGAATATAGGCCTAAACCTATGTTTTAACTGTAAAAAAAAAAAATTAGGAGGTCGTCTTATACGCTGGAAAATACGGTAAGGAGGACCAGGCTCAAGCCCCCTCTTGGTGCCCTTGGTTCTTGGGCAGGAAGGAAGGGCTGAGCTGAGAATCTGGGGATATTGATGGGTTTCCCTTTTCTAGGCTTGTGTGAGGACCCCAGGGATTCAGGCGGTTAAACCATGTGGCGTCCTTCTGCAGCCACACCTTCCCCAGCGCAGTGCTGTGCATTCACTGGCGCCTGTGTCAGACCGGAAAGCCCTCTTCTCACCGTGGAGCACAAGTCCTGCCCCTGCCGGGGAGAGGCCCAGACACTGCTGTCCCCGCACATCAGCTGGGCTGGCTCCCTTGGCGGGTGTTATAATAACCCTGGGTCAGTGGTCGGCAAACTCATTAGTCAGCAGAGCCAAATATCACAGTAAGACTGAAATTTCTTCTGAGAGCTGAAAACTGACTTTTGCACATGGGCCACGAAGTTTCAATCGCACTGTGTGTGCGCGCCCGCACGTGGTATTTTGTGGAAGAGCCACACTCAAGGGGCCAAAGAGCCGCATATGGTTCGAGAGCCAGGGTTTGTCGACCACTGCCCTGGGTTATTCTGGAGAAAGCTAGAGATTTCATCATAGGCCTGGATTCAAGCCAACTGCACAGCCACAACCCCAAAAGGATTGTCTCCCAGCTCAAGGGAGATATTAATAAAATACAGCTTAGCACATATGAGTATAACACAACCTATAGGGTAAATGCACAGGCAAACTGAGCTCACCCAGTTGTCCTTAAGTGGCTTGTCACCATGGATCCCAGAGGTAAGCAACATTGGACCTCGTTCTTGAAATCTTGCTCACTTTATCTCAGAGCAGAAGCCCTGAACACCAGCTGGCTCACAGGATGTGGGGCCGACTTGAACTTCTACACTATGCCTCCATTCCCTGACGCACACACTCCTGCTCAGACCTGCTGGGTGATGGGAATGAGGCCCAGCTGGGTCTGGCTGGGCGGGTCTGATTTCCCCAGGATGCTGAGCCGCCACAGCACTGGGGAGACAGTGGCTTGCTTGTTCTGATGACTGGCTTGGCCAGGTTGGGGTCAGAGCACATGCCCTGGGTCTAGAACATGACTGCCTGTGGTGTGGCCCCACAGGCAAGTGACCTCGCCTAGAGGCTCATCCACACGTGGGTTAAATATACCAACTGGGAGCGTCCATGTGACGTGTACGTAAGCACAGGACTGGCCGGAGCAAGTGCTCAGAAAGCATGGCTGCTGCCACTTGCTGCTGTTCCCAGAGGGGTTATTTCTTCCCGGTCCCAGGAGTCCTCGCAAGCATGGCAGAGGGTGAGGGGAGGGGAAGAGAGGGCAGGAAGGGGGGGCGGGAGCTGGGGGAGCACAGAGCCTCCCAGGCCTGCCCAGGTATGAGCTGGGCTGGGCCCCAGCTGAGGTTGGTGGAGCCTCTGAGGGAGGGAGATGGGAACCAGCTGCTGAAGAACCAGTGCCTCCCAATTGGGGAAGTGACATGGGCCCGCACTGCCTGAAGCGACAGTGGGTTTCAGTGTCTGCTTCTCTGGAGCCAGGACCATACACAGCAGCCGGCCATTGCCCTGTCACCCGAGGCCTCAGCTGCGGAGGGTGACGCCCCTCAGGACTCCCCCTTCGCACATCAGAGGGGGCTTTGGGTGAAGCCAGACACCAAAATCTGTTGGCGGACGTTGCCCTTTTTCCGCTGCTCCCCTTTGCTTATGAGAGAGCTGGGGGTTTGGGGTCAGATGCTTCTTTGAGAATCAGACTACAGGAGAGGGAGGGTTCTGGGCAGCACCTGGGGAACGCTTTGAGGGGACGACATGCACGAGCCATTTACTAACCATTCACCTGCAGGACGTGGGTCTGGAACAGCTCCTCGTGGCCCGCGGCGTGGCAGGTGTAGTTGCCCATGTGGACGGTGGTCACCTTGGTGATGTAGAGGGAGTTGTCCTCGCCGAAGTCCTGCGGAAGGCAGCGCGGTTGGCCTCTCTGAGGAGCTTGGGCAGGGCGGGCAGGCTCCCCGTTTCCCAGGGAAACAGAAATGCTGCGGCTCTGAGACTTCCTTCCCGCCCGTCCCCGTGCTCAGCAGAGCTGCCTGTGGGGCTGTGCAGGCTGGGGCAGCAGGACCTGCATCGCTGTCCCACTGTCCTGCAGTCCCGTGTCGCTTGCCCAGAGCCGAATATCCACGTAAGGCCTTGCTCACCTTCCTAGGGAGGCTGCGATTGAACCCTTCCCCAGCCCGCTTCCTGCTCCCTCTCAGTTTCCACTGGGCTCACCTGCCCTGCTGTTATTGCTGGTCCCCTGGCTCCTGCCCACCTGTTCGAGGAGGGCGCCTCGTTTAGCAAACTTTTCCTTAAAGGGCCAGATTGCAATAGTTTTGGCTTTGTGGGCCACAGAGTTCCTGTCAACTACTCAGTCCTGCCTTGTGACATAAAAACAGCCATAACGATACATAAATCAAGCAGTGCCACTACATTCCAACGACATTTCATGTTAATAAATAGGCGGATTTGGCCTGTGGGCTGGTTTAGATCCCACCTTGGTACCAAACTAATTTCAGGCAGCTTGCAGAGGTCTGGAAAACCCAGAGGAACGACTTAAGACTCTCAGGAAAATGGGGCAAACAACAACAAAGAGAGCCAGGAGAGCTGACGCAGGTGTGACTGAGTGTGTGTGTATGTGTGTGTGGTCCATGGGATATGCTCAATAAGCCTTGTCCCTGTGGCTCTGCAGCTCACAATGGGGGCTCCCATTGGGCTAGTGTGTAGGGGAGGGGTGGGGGGAAGGGCTGCTGGCTGGTCAGAGGCCCCTGTGAGCGCTTGGGCACAAAGCACTCGCCCAGGTCAGCCGTGTTCTCTCCAGCAGAACCAGGCGCAATGCTGGCCGGGCCAGCCCAACTGCAGACAGGCTGGGAGACAGAACTACCCGGTTTGGCTTTAGCTACCAGGCACCTCGGAGATGTGGTTCTCAGAGCCGAGGGGACTGAGGAGGGCTTGGCTCACTGGTTAGAAGCAGGGCTGTGCCGTGCGGGTTGTGAAGTGAAGGGCCCAGGGTTGGGACCCAGAGACTTAGGGGTTTAGCTTGAACCCCACCATGGACCACACGCTCCCTCGTCCCTCTGGCACGGGCGCCTGCACCTGCACGCTGGGTCCTGCCTGCCTCTGGGTGTGGGAGGCGGGCGGGAAAGTGTCTGGGCATACGTTTTCTATTGTGGGGAGTGTGACGTACGTGGGGATGTTACTCTTCTCGTCATTATTAACAGAATAACTCCTCTTGACTCCCTGGAGCCAACACCACCCGTCCCTCCTGCCATTTCCCTGGCTTTTCCGCAAAAGCAATCTGTGGCAGGAGGAGCAGAGGCCGCAGGCAGTGGGCACAAGGGTTGTCCAAGGGCAGCCACATGGCAGCCCCTGCTCCTGGAAACGCTGACCCTCTGTCTTGCTCCCACTTCAGAGGGCCCGGCCACAACCCTCCCGAGTTCTTTAAAGATGCTTTCTGGCCAATGAACTGGCCTCGGTATGAGCCCGATCCCCCGTTAGGGCAGAGAGGGGGAGGAGGGGATGGACGTGTGCAGCCAGCGCCCCCAGGGGAGTAGCACCCTGAGAGCGCTGTGGGAGCCTGAGTTTCCCGGAAATGCTTGCTCTGCTTCAAAAAGCCCCAAGCCCATCACTCTGCGGAAGCTTCAATAATAAAAATAAAACACCAGAGAGCTGACTGTCCTGTGTCATGACAGAGCCATAAAGGGTCCATACCTGAGTTGCTTATGAAAAGTTAATGGTGAGTCAGTTCTGGGGCTGACGTATTTCTGGTCTAAGCTATTGCCTGTGTCAAAACCTAAATCTGGAGGAAAATATATTTTGGTGGCGTCCGTGGTGGGGTGGCATCTTGAAAGTGGGCTGGGAAGCTGGGTGCAGCGCCACCTGGGGAGCCCCTCACGCCTCATCTGGCGGATCCAGGGCAGCTCCCTCCCGGTGCCAGGCCCCTGGCACCCATTCCCCTCCACACTGTCCCCTGAGCCCTTCCTCATGGGAGGCCCCTGGTGCCCCCTGTGCTTGTTGTCACCGCATGGGGCTGTGTGGTCACCGGACCACAGCATTCCTCCAGCTGAGAAGCGCCCAGGCCGAGGTTCGCACAGATCAGTGTAGAGCGATGCCACAGTCTTTAAAAGCTAATTCTGTGCCAGGAAGGGTGACATACATCACCTTGCTTAATCCTCAGGATTCCTCCCATCCCTCCCCTCATCCCCGGAAGCCATCAAACCCAAAGAAAGCCCAGTCCTGCCTCCTTCACAGCACAGTGAGGGAGGCAGGACTGTGCCTCCACCACCTCTCACCACCTCCACTGCCACCGAGGGCCGGCACCTCCACGCAGGGACCTCCATGCAGCCGCCACACGCCCTCCTAGCCCGGAGCCTCAGGCTAAGGGTCTGCCTGTCCCTCTCCTTCTCACTCCACTCCAGCAGGGGCCCCTAACATGCCAGGCTTCTTGCCCCCTCAGGAGCTCCCTACTTGCTGCACCCTCTTCCCCAAAAGCAACCCATCAGCCTGGCCTGCTCCCCACCTTCAAGTCTGCTCAAATGTTACCTGCCACCCTTTCTGTACACCTCCCCCCCCCCCCCCCCCCCCCCCGTCTTCCTTCCTGCTGTATTTCTCTGCGGGCACCCACTACCATTTACACTGTTCTTTGTATTTGCCTGGTTTGCAGTCTGTGTCCTCTTCCCGCCCCCCTCCCCCGGCTCCACAGGGCGGGCAGGGGCTCTGCATGCAGTGTCTCCAGCACCTCATGCAGGACCGGCATCGTTGAGCGGACTGGGCAGTGTGAGCTAGGATTCCTGCAGGGACTGCCTTCTGGCTCCTTGGGTTTGACCGCTGAGGAGCCCACCTCCTGCCGTCCCATCCACCCAAATGCCGCCAGTCACAAGGGTTAAAACGAGGTGGTCTGGGCCGGAAGGCAGAGACCGGGGCTCCATCTCACCCCACCTCCCGCCCTGTCTCATTCTTCATGCTGCATGCCTCAGGCCAGGGCCCACTGACACTGACTGGAGAGAAGGCTCCACTCGGAGCTGGAGGCGGAATTGGGAGAGCACATGCATGTGAGCCCATCCCAGACTCCACGAGACAGTGACTTCTGGCGAGCCCCTAACAAAGCCCTGTAACCTCTGTTCACTTCTCGCTGCTCCTGGGTGGAGCGGAGGCACACTCGGGCCCCGAGGGGCGTGCATCAGCTCTTCAGGGACACGCGGGGCTGCGGGAGGCATCGGGCGTGGCTTCGAGCACCTCACTCGTCACCAGCCCGTGATTTGGGCTCTGGGAAGAACCTGGCTCTGTAATAAAGTAATGTCTCTGGGCTAAAATAATAGGCATCGTGTAATTATGGAACAAAGTGCATATTGTTTTCTGGAACATGAATACTGACTACAGAAATCAAATTTACCTCATTGGATGTGAGGAAATGACTTTAAAAAATTGATTTATAAGAAGCTACATAAAACTGAACCTGCAATCCCCGCTCTCCTGCATGCTCTCTGAGATATGCCCGCACACTGCCATCAGTGCTTGATTGCATCTATGTAATTGTCTTTTTATGGATGGCTTTTTTTTTTTTTTGTTCTGGTGCATAGAAAAGTATTAGCAAAATCAAGGTTCTTTCTAGCAATAAACAGATGCCAGATTAGACCATTCTTTGTATTGATGCACATCCATCTTTGGGAAAGAGACAATTTTACTTAAAGACTTGGTTTTTGCCTTTTAAAAAGCTATTTTCTAAGTATCTGCCCTTAGTAAAGAAAGTAATTAAATGAGGCTTACGTATTAAACTGCATTTAAGCAGAGGCGAGGTGAGGGATGTTGTCATAGTGATGCATGGGAGTCAGGTCTAAGTAACGCGAAAAGGAGCCATCCGTGCTGAATGCTGAGTGACTGGGTGCTAAGCACAAGGACTGCAGCGTGGTTTCAGAGTTTGGGTTAATAATACTGTCAAGGCTACACGTTAAAACTCAGCTTTGAAAGCTTTTTAGAGCTTTTCCAACCCGGTGCCCTTCTCTGGAGCACCCTGGCTCTCTTTGGGGAAGCTGGAGTGAAGGAGGTGGTCTTTGCCTCCATGCTGGTTCAGTTCTGCTCCCCTGAATTATACGAACCGGAGCTTCCTACCTGTACAAACATTTGAGCATCATGGACCCAATCATCGAGCAATAGCAGCTCCTTGACGATGGCCGGTCCTCAGAGATGTCTGCATTCACGAAAGCAAGGACCAGATGCATCCTTGGTGGGCACACACAAACCCCCATGTGGACACACACAGTAAACCTGAGCACACACATGCTCGTTCCAACCCACTGTCCCTCTACAGCTGACCACTCTGATCCACACTCGGATCACTTCTTCCCAGCCCCTGGGAGGGCAGACTTGCCACTCTGCAGAGCCAGCCCTCTTGCCCGGGGTCCTCTTTAGAAAGTCCCTGCCACTGGAAATGACCCCTCAGCAGCTGCTGAGTCCCCATGGCAGGGTGCCATGGACAGTCACTTTCAGTGGGCCTGTCCTCCTGCCCATCTCTAGGCCCAGGAGAGGGAGCCAGAGGCATGAGAGCAGGCCCTGGGGAGGCTCCCGGCTTCCCGGGGAATGCAGGGAGCGTGCGGCTGCTGGCTGACGGGTGTCTGAGGCCAGTCTCCCCATGACTGAGCGTCAAGGGGAGGCACTTCATCTTCCTGGGCAGCGCTCTCTGGTCCCCACGGTGTGGCATGATGCCTGGTGCACACGTGGTGCTCAATTAGTATTTACTGAATGTATGGAGGTGTGCCAGCCACATGTGCTGTCTCTTGGGGAGCCCTGAGGGGAAGGGTGGTGAAGTAACATCACCTGAAGAGAGGTCTGGTCTGGGTCCCCAGCTCCCTTTGTTGGCCTGGGAGCTTTCTCCACCGGACAGTCTAACCATGTGTGTGCGTGTGTGTGTGTGTGTGTGTGTGT